TTGGACTGTAGGGACTTCTGATCATGGCCTCAGCTACATATATTTTGGATAAAAAAGGTTATAAGTGAATTACTTTGCAAGTGAGTATATTGTCTTCCCAATTGACCATCCTAGTTCTATCCTTATGAAATCTGATTTTCAGCACAGGTGATAATAACAGCCATGAAATAGTAGTAGTGTTTGCTAACTTTTTTTCTGCTTGGCATTTTCTAATTACCTGTTTGGCCAATTCCTCTGGGTCTAAGGTTATTTAGTACTGATTCCATTGGTAAGACTCGTCCACTATGAGACTTTTACCACTTCATACCAAGGATGCATATAAAGACATTCCAATATCAAATTCACATTATATTTACAAACTCATCCCACCCTATTTTTTTCCAAATAGTGCATTAGCCATTATAATTCCTGGGTCTTAAATGTAACCTTACAGCTGCCACAAATTTTTTTTTTTTTTTTTTTTTTTTTTTTTTACCACAAAGGTTTAAATGTCAAAGCAGACTGGTGATAGATCTCTTCCAACTCCAAACTTTAATAATGATCCAATGGAAAGAAACCAACACCAGACACAGACTAAATAATCCCTTCCTTGAGGAGCTATCAGATGTAGCTTCCAAGACTCTCTTCTGTCCTTCATTAAATCATGTTTCGTTTTCAGATTAAAGAACAAATTTTAAACAATGCATGTGGATATACTGTTCATAAACAAAACAGTCTCTATTTTATAACTCTTCCATTTTATAACCCATTAATTACATAGACAGCAAAATGCTTATTGACCCCCACCTTCCATTCTCCAGCCAACCATGTCCCATAAATGTATACATTCCTATTTTAAAGGCAGTAAGCAATCTAGAAAGACCAGACATATCATGCTAAAAATATTTCAGAATTAGGGACTCTCTTGATACCTTTCCTCTAGGAAACACTATTAGCACGGAGATGTGGTCATCAGCACCTTTGCGAGATGGTCCCCTCTAGTGATTCATTCCTTTGGGTTTCCTAGTATGGTAAGAGTGAGTTATGGCCCCACTGTAATCTTTTCCATCCCAACAAGGCACATCCTGATAGACCTCCACAGCAGAAAAAGAGGATAGATGAGAACATTCACTAAGTAAAATGATTAACCTATTTTCTTCAAGCCTTGCACATAGCCTTTTTATATATTTATTTATTTTTGACAGATGGGACAGAATTTTTTTTTAATTGGTTATAAATATTCATGAGATACAAAGCTGATTGTCACCTCTTGTGCCCATGATGTGGGGGCCAGATTCACACTGGCAGCATACCCATTACCACAAATTGCACTTTTTCCCCCACCCAATTATTCCCACCCTTCCTCCCCCTCCCCCTCTCTTCCCACTCCACTTTAACTTTGTAGCCCAAGGAATATTCTCTCCCTCTGCAAGTCCGACGAACTACCAGCCCATAACTTTTTAAAGAACATTAATTATACTTGTAAAGTTTCCATTAAAAAACAAAACAAAACTGTAACAATTTTAAATTGAAATCAGTTCTTCTCTGTGGGGAGTATTTCATGGAGAACTATTAACAGGCATAACTTAGAAAACTGATAGAAATGGATATTATTTAACCAAGTTAACAATAGTGTATAGTCATTTCATTTTGGAACATGAAAATCAGAATGTTATACGAAATTGTTTGCATATTTGGAAAAACTGTGGCAAAAATGTAAGACATTTCAAAATGTTTTTTAGTAATTTGTGATGTGTTAATTTGTGAAGATAACCAGCTATTCTGAAATATTAGGAATGAATGCTTAAAAATCAATTGCTCAAAGCTGGTTAAGTATTAAAGGTGTAAATAAATAGTACAGATCTTTTGCCCTTATGCATGGTTATATAATCCCCTGAGAGCCAGATGCTACAAGTTAATCTCATACTTTTTAAAAAGTGTAAGATAATTGTCCCAATTTAACACCTAAAAATACATTGTTTTGTTATGCTTTTAAAAAATGATAATGAACTGATGACTCAATACATTACATTCTGTATATACTAATTAAATAATATTTAAGATGCCAAAGAGATATTAAAATGATTTCTGATGCTAATCTCCAAAATAAAAATAAAGTACATTTCAAATGCTTATAATTCTAAGAAGATTTTCCATTTAAATTATTTCAGTAGCTGATGGAGTTTGGATGTGTGATCCCCGCCAAAACTCATGTGGAAATTTGATCCCCAGTGTGGCAGTTTGAGTCATGTGGGTGGATCCCCCATGAATGGATTAGTGCTCTCCCTAGGTGGGGGAAGTAATGAGTGAGATCTCACTTTATTAGTTCCTAGGAGAGCTGGTTGTTTAGAAGACCCTGGCACCTCCCCTCTCTCTCTNTCACTCTGAACATATCCTTTCAGCTTGAAAGCTTTGATTTTATTTAGGTTCAATATTTTTGGCAAGAATACTTCATAGAGGTTACTATGTACTTTGTACTCAACTTTATGGTTTTGAGATTTATCCTCTATGAAATATGTAGCTCTAGCTCATTCACTTTAACTGCCACAGGTCTTTTCCATTTTCCTTCCAATAATCTTGTTAACTAACCTGATTATNAAAAAAAAATTCTTCACTCCTTCAATTTAATAAAATTTCATTTTCCTCCTTTAGAGGATATCAGTGTTTTGACTTGAATGATCCCCAAGGATACTAAGTCTATAATTCTGTAAATGAGTTTAGTGAATACTGTGCAAAGGCACTGTGCAGGGGCTGCAAAACAGATGCTTATGAATCACCTATCCTCCAGGCTGACTGGGTACAGTTTTTCTTCCCAATATTAATGTACTTAAGAGTACTGACATCCAGTTTACATATCTTCATGGGGTGCATTCATGGGAGAGTTTGCCATAACTTTGCTGACATAAAGGTATTTTACTTCCACAGCAGACCCTTAGCATACCACTTTAATAATCTACTCCAGTTGAGATAAATTTATTTATGCTACTTGTTCTTGGCTAACCCCAGTTGCTCATAAAAGATCTCCTAAAATAATTAATACTGGAATTTTGCCAGGAGTCCATGTCAAGCTTTTCGGCCTGGTAATTACACAGTTCGCCTTTTTTTACTTTTTGAAAATTTGGATATTTGACAGTCTTGGGCATCTGTCATACTCCTCAAAAATGGCCTTCAGGGGTCCCATGGCCAATCTGCCTGACTTTTAGGATGCTTCAAGGTTGGCATGAAGGTTTGTATTCACTTACGGCAAGTACTTATTCTTTTACTATCTTTTTCATATTAATGTATGTCTACCATTCCCAGTTTGAAGATCATGACCATTGATGGAGAAATAAAAGGCTGATAGGTGTTAAGTAATTTTATGGCCCCTCTGCCATCTGTAGAAATTACCAAATTCATTTCCTGGGGCTTTCCAAAAAAATAGCAAATTTCAAGCATACCAAAGAATAATATAAGGAACACTCAACACCTAACTTGACATAAAATATTACAGATGCAATGAAATCCCCTTATCTACCCCTCCCCAATTCCTTCCCCCTTCCTTCCCAGGTTAACTACTACTCTGATTTTAATGTTATTAGTCCCATGCATGTTTATATATTTTTAATACTAATGTAGGTAGCCACAAACATTATGTTTTACAAATTTTACACAAATAGTTTCACTCTGAACATATCCTTTCAGCTTGAAAGCTTTGATTTTATTTAGGTTCAATATTTTTG